AAAAAAAAAAAAAAAAAAACAAATATATAGTATACATAGCATTGCATAAGCAATTGCATACATACACAAGACTAAAGTTATTCAATTGAAATTTAAGTAAAACGAAATACGAAATGATATACAAACAAAATGAAACTGAATGCAAAGAAATTATGAAAGAGTAATGAATAATAAATGAAATGAATAAAACTAAATTGGAAAATGTGTATCTTGTTTACTTTGAAAGCAAAATGTGCTGAGTAAGTAATTAGAAATAAAATTTGAGATCAATATTTCAGAAAAAATATGGAAAATAGACTACAAAACAAAAAAATGCATTAACTTCAGCTGCCCCTAGGCTATAATACCCTTCTTCTTCTGTATTGGCGTATTACTTTATAGCAATTTCTTCTTAATTCTTCGGTGGCAATTGGAGAATTAAAGTGTAGACAGCTACTTCTCCAACTGTCCTTTCCAACGGAGCGGAGGTCTTCCACTTCCTTTACTTCTGTTGGCGGGTACAGCGTCGGCTACTCTCAGAGTTGTCTCTAATCGCTGAACTATGTCAATGTCATCGTAAATCTCGTACAGCTCATCGTTCCACCGACTGCGGTATTCGTTGTTGCTAATGCGCAAAGGAAAGGATACTTTTATAGCAGGACGGAGATAATGAGTGACTTGTAGAATTTGTCTTTGTTCCTCGAGATAGTATTTTACTTCTCAACGGCCTACTCAGCGTCCCAAGTAGCACCTGTCCTGTATCCTCTTATGTTCTACCGCCATATAGCTAGGCTTCGCGAAAGCTTATCCAGCGCTGGGCCAGCATCGGTACATTCGCTGTTGCAAAAATCTTTTGGCCCAAGATTGATCATAGGAGATCTAGTGACCTTCTTTCTTCCTTTCTGTGGCTTCGCAAAGGACTACATACGATACATTTAGCCTGACCTAATATAGCACCTGTCGACCAGCGTTATTTTGTAATGGATCTCGAGACTGATGTTGTTGTTGGTGTTAACGAATTTATTTACATCTTCGAAGTTCTCTACCAAGCCCATATGCTTCACTTCTTTGTTCAACCTGAAGAATACAGAACTAATGCTCCGGTTGTTTTGCCGAAACATATCGATGTCACCGGCATACGCTAGAAGTTGTACTCTCTTGTAGAGATTGGCACAAAGCGAGCTGCCTTATCTGAAACCTTGTTTGGTATCGAACGGCTCGGAGAGCTACTTCCCGATCCACACGGAGTTTTTGGTATTGCCCAATGTCAGTTTACGCAGCCATATTACTTTTGTGGAGCTCCCAAATTTAGAAATAGGGGCATAAAGGTAGGCCCTATTTTGCTGAATATTCTCTTACGCGACTACTGTCAAACTTCAAGCCGAATCGAAAGCGACCACTTTTTTTTGAGGATTTTAGGAAACTGAAAAAGACTAAGAAAACTCTAAAATATACTAGAAGTGTTACCCTTTCTCAATTTTATTAAGATTTATTACATTATGGACCGACAGTTTATATTAGGTTGTCAAATATCTTCCTTCCGCCTTTTTGTCTTTTGAATTTCACGGCTATGTATAAAGCGCTACAGAGCTCGTATTTGGCAATACTGTATATCTTTTAAAGGTCTTGGCATAACCTACAAAAGAACGCTGTACATGATTGGTTTGGATATCATGGATATCAAGCGAAAACGGTTGCGGTCGAAGGCCGCTGAATCCTCCCAAACAGTGGCCAAGCCGGGTTTAACGGTCAGTCAGGTTTTGCTGTGTGTTTGGTGGGATTGGAAGGGAACCATGCAATATGAGCTGCTCCCATATGGCCAGACGCTTAATTCCACCATCTACTGCGAACAACTCGACCGCTTCAAGCAGGCGATCGACCAGAAGCGTCCAGAATTGGCCAATAGGAAGGGTGTAGAGTTCCACTGGGACAACGCCAGACCACACACTTCGTTGATGACTCGTCAAAAACTAAGGATGCTCGGTTTGATCGCATCCAGCCAGACATAGCGCCAATTAATTACCATCTGTTCCTGTGCATGGCGAACGCCCTTGTAGATGTAAAGTTGAACTCAAAAGAGGCTTGTGAAAAGTGGTTGTCCGGCTGTTCTTCGCAAATAAGGAGGGGGATTCTACGTGAGGGGTATTATGAAGTTGCCATCTAGTTGGAAACAGATTATCGAACGAAACGGCGCATCACTGATCCGATCACTGTATTACTTTTTATAAAGCATTGAATAAAGAGCAAAAAAATGGAAGTAAGATATTTAACAACCTAATATACCAAACTCAGCTTGCAACTTTCAATCGAAAGTACTAGACAAACAGAAGGGCTGTGAAACTCTTCGGTACAACTACGGGAGGATACAGAAAGCGACCAGTTCGTCCATTTGTAGAGATAGCCAGACGGCATTGCTAGCTTTGTAGTGGCCAAAGATTAAATGCAGCATGGTCAACAAATGTAGTAAGGTGTTAAACTCACTGACAGGGCAACTCGACTTGTTCATAATTTGGGTTCCCGGTCACAGGAATATTTTCGGCAGCGAAGAAACAGACGAATTGACAGACACAATACCGTGTCAACTGGGAATAATCAAGAGAAACCTCAATACGCAATTTGAACAATTAGCGCCTAATAGATGGTAGTATACAACCAAATGCAGGATGGCGAAACAGTTATGGTTAGTTTATGACAAGACCAAAACAAAGAACGTATTATATTACGCATTACACCGTTAATTGAGCCTGAAGATGCTCAGAAGGCTGCGAGAAGTATTGACCCTATTTTACACATTTTTAGCATAGCATGCCTTGTAATCACAAAAAAAAAATTCTCCGAATTTCAATGCTCAAGAACAATAACTTTATAAAATCATTGAACTTTTAACATAATTTTTGTAAATCTATAATATGGCAGCACTCAGCCTTTTGTGTCTAAAATCTTTTCGACTTTACATTTTCAGTTTCGAAAACTTTTGGGGAAAAATGTCAACAAAATTTTTAAATTCATAAAAATTCGCTAATTAAAACCAAATTCTTCAATAGAAAATAAGAACAAAATTCATACATACGCACATATACAAACATACGGAGCAAAAATAAACCGATTCCCGATTTCGTGTTGATGAAGTTCTGAAGCCAGGAGAGCACAAGAGGCAGTGAATCGCAACCGAATGACGAAGGGCATATTGAAAAATGTTCGCCGAACGCTGAGTATTTGCTTCAATTTCATTTTAGCTTGTTGCTACGAAATACTACCGTTATTTGCAATAACAACAACACAATATGCAGAGTATGTGGAAGCGAAGGCAGCAGCAGCCACAAGAACAACAATAATAACAGCAACGGCAACAACGCATGGTATTCGGCGCTGCCATAGCGAAAACAAAAAGAGCAACAACAACAGCAATAATAACAACAAAAGCAGGAGCTTGAGCTGCAGCAATAGCCAGGAAAACAATAGCCACAACAAGAAGATAAACAATCCTAACAAAGCCACGAGCAGCGCTGAAAACCCTACAATAGCAAACAATGAAGCCTGCCACCAGGCGCCCAGACGTGCGCTGGGCGCGCCGAAAACGCACAAACCATCGATGCAGGTAAGTCGATCGTATAGAAGAACTGGTTGGCTTTTTCTGAAATTTTAATTAACAAATGCACATAACGGAACTAGTGTTGTAATAACAACAACAGCAACGTGAAGTGCACGTGTGTGTGTGTGTGTGTGTGTATTGGTATGTTCGCATACACAATGCGACAAACAAATGCGCGAATAAAATTAATTTATTAAGTTAGTTAAAGTTATTTGATGTGAGAGCGCTTGAGCTGAAGGCTTAAGTGTGGTTGCCTTTAATTGTTCACCAGGCGTTTTTTAGCTTCATTGTAGTTCTCAGTTCCTTTGGGGCAATTACTGTAAATTTCGTAACTTCACTTTGGGAAATGGATATTGGTTCAGGTACTGAGTTATGAAATTAGCACACTGATAAATTTTAGTATCCCGTTAAATGCTATTGAGGCAATGTGATCCGTATTCGGACACAAAGCCTTTAATCTGCATGCAGTCTAGCATTAAGTTTTCAGGAGTTTACGGCTCAATGTCACATAACCGGTGATTTGAGCAAAAATTTATATCCATGTTCTTGAGTCTGCTTTGCCGAGTATAAAATTAAACATGTCATCGGAATTTGTCTCTCGGGATCTCTTTTAAACTAAACCTAAAGAGGTTGTAAGAATCCGTTGGCAACTTTCATTGGTGCATGCTTTTCAGATTATGCCAATACTTTTTCCTGCCAACCCTTACCTACAGTTCTATTATCCTGAAAGCAGCCGCAGTGCGGTCAAGCGCGTTTGCCAGATCATACCCGAATATACCCTTGGGATATATCAAACAGATGAAGTCCACTAAGTTGAGAGTCAATATGCTGTTCAGCTGTCTGGTATATTCTTTTAAAAAAGAATACAAAGGTCCGACGCACCAGAGATTGGTGACGTGGTAGGTACTTCCCAAAGCGGCCCGGCGTTGAGAGGACAATACCCTTCAAGACCCGATTGGGAGGAGCCGAAATGATTTGTGATTTAAGCCCTTCCACCACGTCAAGGTGCCTGCCATTCGCACAGGCAGAATACCATAATCAGTTACAGATGCTCTTAGATGGGTTCGTTATTACTTATCTGAGTATTTTGTGGTTTTTCGACAATTCCATCGCTAGTGCTGTACAGTTTATAAATATTTAGCTATTTTAAGAGTACTTAGTTGCAAAGCAGAAGCAAATAAAATTGATTCGAGGTTCGAACTAGTCCTACACTAGGGTGGGTCTATTCCCGCCTTTTTCCGATTCGGGATTTCTAATAGTGCGGAAAAGTTGCCTTAGTACTTCCTGATTCCAATGCAACTTTTTGTTTTGAGATCGGATTGCATCTTCAACCCCAACTCCGCCCTTGAAATTGGTATAAAACAAAAGTTATCTGTTACGTCATTTGCTACCGAAATGGTATACATGATCATGGCCGTAGGACGAACCGTTCCCGAGATACGAGCGAAAATGCGGCGCGCCACAGCGCAAGGTGAAAATTGGCTTGCGAGACACTTCTTGACGTTGATTTCGCCGAGTGCTATCACTCACATTCATTCACCTACACCAAAGGACACATTCGGACTGGTCTCCACATAAATACTTTTTCATCGAGTTCCTTCATTCTTGTCTTTTATTTCGCCGAGTGCTATCGCTTATATTCTCTCAACAGAATACACCTACTGTGGTATTCGCATCTGGTTTAGAAATTTTCCTGTCTTCTCGAAAGAAATAGCCGAGAGGAAAATAATTAAGTCGATTAAAATCAGTTTATTAAAGTCTACTTTGAGACCTAAACAGAATTTGGTCAAATATAGATATTTAAGTGAATTAAAAAAGGCGGCGACTAATAAAAGGTCTCAAGACCGGGGCATACTCTTGTTGAATCCCCAGAGATGATGTACTGGCTGATACCCAGAGCGTACGAAGTTTTGGAGGGAACACTTCTCGATTCTGTTGAATGGCAATAAAAACGTAATACCTGATGATGGTGAACCCAATTAATCAATCGAAGACCATAAAGATGTTCGAATAGCAAATACTCGTCTGAAGAACAACAAAGCGGCAAAGGCGACTGGACTGTCAGCCAAGCTATCCAAATGCGGCGGCAAGGAACTGTTAATGACCACGCATTAGCTTCTTTGTAGAATATTGTCGAACAAAAATTTGCTCCACAATTGGAATTTAAATGTGATATGCCCAATCGTGGACTTCTAATGTGGAAATCTCACCACTCGGGCCTGGAAATCAACAAGTATCCAGATATTCATCATGTGTAAATTCTTGGAAAAGGCCCGTGAAAAGAGGATGGAACACATTACCTCTTCGTCGATTACAACACTGCATTTAACAACACGAAAAGGAATCGCCTTTATGCCCCTAGGTCTGAAATTTGTATCCTCGCAAAATTAATATAGCTGTGTAAACTGATGTTGAGCAACCCCAAAAGCTCCGTCAGGATCGGGAAGGACCTCTCTGAGCCGTTCGATATCAAACAAGGTTTCAGACAAGGCGACTTCCTATCGTGCGACTTAGCAATGGCGAATTACGCAGTCGATGAGACTATGATGGAACGAGGCTACGCTGGCTAGATCATGTATCCCCAGTACCCGCCGGGAAAAGACCTCCACTACGTTGGAAATACCAGGTGGAGAAAGACCAGGGTACACTTGGAATCTCCAATTGGCGCCAAAAAGTGAAAAGTAAAGACCGCACAAGCGGTGTCTGCGCAAATAAGGGAAGAAGAAGCTGCTATGAAAATATTACTAACAACTTCGAACATACAGCGGCATACAATACTGTTGTGTGCTCATAAAAATTAGAGTCTTACTATATTTGTTGGCCACGTTACCAATAAGCTAGATAACAAGTCATTTAGAATATTTTCAAAATAAAGTTTGCTCTTCTTCTTTTGGTAGATAAGTGTGTCGGTCTGGACCGAAAACAAAAAAAATTCGCCTCTATTCCTTGCGAGGTCACGGCAGGTATACATGCAAAGTGCTGACAGGCCATTTGGTTGGATGAGTGAACGCCCTTGCTCCCGTTGTCCACCAGTGGGTCTCGAGTCGAAGAAGGTTTTCACATTTTATCGATGAAACTATAGACAACTCCAAATAACTTTGGGAAACCAAATATAATTATGGAGATCGTCAGGTGGCCCCTTTGCAGAACAATACAATATTTCAATTAGATTGAATTGTTGTTTCTCAATCCGTTGCCTAAGCTAATCAAGCTAAGGATTATATAGTTATATAATATTTTGAGTTAATAAGTGGTGGTTTAGGTATTTAAATGTTCAGTTAGGAGAATGAAATACTTAAATAATATCCCTGTTGTCGACTTGAGGGTTTTTTTATCCTTTCCTAAAGTTTGTTAAAGTTAGTGATATCTTTCGACTATTTATTTCATTGAGACAAGTATAACTTACAGATTTTCTTACTGAAAACATTTAACATGCAAACACAGTATCAACCACCTACAACTATCTACAAGTTGCTGATATCCTGTATCGTCTTTTGCGCACTCCACATCTACTTCAAGCAGCTCTGCGCGATTTTCTTAATATCTGCCATAATCTTAAGTGCATACTTAAAGGTGCAGTAATTGTTATTGCCAACAATACGATTAAGCATTTACTTGCATTATTTTTTTGTCGCAATTGTTGTTGCCATTGTCGCCGTTACGCACATTAAACACTCTCCGATTGCCATTTTGCTGGCGAGGAGTGAAAACAATTTAATGATAAGCATCAAATTTCCACAAAATGGGCTTATATTTTACGTGCAATGCTAAACAGATTGCGAAATCGTTTGCCAAGCTCGGCTACACGAACGCATGGGCACTACTTGCAACGAATCGACTTAATTTGTATCGCTCAAAAGTGCGAATTACAGCGAATGAAGGAATGTCTGCGAAAAAAGCAGCAAAAAATTAGCGAAACTTGCTCACACGAATATTTCGGCGGCAAACTGCCGAAAACATATTACGAAGTACTCGTCAACATTTCTTCGAGCACTTAAAGTTCATGGCGTCCCTAAAAGTATGCAATGTAGCCGAAAAACGCTTTCTCGATTACTTTTAAAGTAATGTTGAAGTTGTTTTGCTAATGCGGCACAGTTGTTGTAGCACACACTTTCTATGCGTATATTTTCATAAATCTCCTTTAGATTTCCAAGCCACTTGCCAGCAACAATGTAGTAATACAAAGAGCCGCGAACAAAATTCTAGAAAACCGCGAAATTCTCAAAAGTGAAAATAAAATGGTGGATTTGTATGTGATGCGAGCGTGGAGAAGTGAGTAAAAGAGATGGAGAGCGTTAATAAATACAGTGCTGCATCTCATTTACCACAAAATTGCAAAACCTATAATAAGCTTTAGCTAATGCGTTTATGCTTGTGTGCGAGATAAGCGCTTACCGTTAGGAAGCTTCCGGCTGCCGTTAAGGTAATGTACAGCTAATCTCTCCTACTCACCTTTTACTGTTATTAGAATTCTGAGAATGTTAATAATTTCATTTTACTTAAGGCGGCAAAGAACTTAATTGGTATACAGATAATTTTAGTGAATTTAAAGTGATTTTTTTTTTTTCATTGCTAATAGCCTATGTTACCAAAGACATTGTTTAAATGTGAGGCAGAAGTTTACTTATAAGATAGAAATAGTTGGCGCTATCCGTACATTAGACTTAAGATTCACCAGAGATTGCGTCTCCACTCGTTTGGTTAGGTTAGCTATAGACGTCGACCTTCACAGAGATCTCATTGGACAGCTTAGAACACGTAAAACTTCTATATAATTGATCATAAGATTCTCACAAATCAAGCTTTGAGCTTTGTCAGGACCTTGAAGCGTTCGCACGCCAAGGGCACTGGAGACATGTCGCTCATCTATCACAACATAATCGATGTGGTTTCGAACTTTTCGATATAAAGAAAGCCAAATAGCTTGTTGATGACTATAATTCAGGCCCCTGCGAAGTCGATCAGCCTCAACGCACTTGGAGAGGATTCGCCATGGAGGCCTTTTT